ACCCTAAACCCTAAACCCTAATCATAAACCCTAACGGTGTTATAGACTTCGAAGAGGTAAACCCCAAACCCTAATCCCTAAACCCTAATCATAAACCCTCATTCGTATTGAAAAAACGGTGTTATAGACTTCGAGGAGGTAAACCCTAAACCCTAAACCCTAAACTGGGGACCCTCATTCGTAAACCCTCATAAACCCTGTTCCTAAACTGTAAACAGCGCAAGTATAAACCCTAATTAGCATGCAAAAACCCTAAACCCTAAACCCTCGTACAGAGTCATAAACCCTAATCAATAAAACCTAAACCCTATAAACCCTAATAAACCCTAATAAACCCTAATAAACCCTAATAAACCCTAATATACCCTAATAAACGCTCATAAACTCTCATAAACCCTCATAAACCCTCGTAATATGCAGCTGTTTAGAGCTAGGGTTTATATGATGAAGTTAGGGTGTTTTAAATAAATTATTTTATGCTGCTGCGGTGTATCTGCAGTTTATGATTGCTTTGGCGGGTGCGGAGACACTCGAAAGAGACGAAAAGAAGCAAAATATAAATAAAAATATAAATAAAAACAAAAATAAAAATAAATTTAACAGAAGCAATTCGCTGCTTCTTAAACTACCCACCGCACAGCGCTCTCAAGTACTCTCATTAGTAAGCCTTCTGCTGCAGCAGCAGCAGCAGCAGCAGCAGCAACAGCAGCAGCAGCAGTAGCAGCAACAGCAGCAGCGGCGTTTGTAGTGAAATGAAAACAGCAGTTTCTGCTGCAGCAGCAACAGTGTCTGCATCAGCACTTTTTGCTGCTAGGAGCTGGGCTTCCGTTGCTGCTGCTGATGCTGTTGCTGTTGTTGCTGCTGCTGCTGCTGCTGCTGCTGCTGCTGCAGGCACAAAAGAATCTCGCAGAGACAAAGGAGAAGTCGCCTACTGTCGAAGCCTCCCCACAGCAGCAGCAGCAGCAGCAGCAGCAGCAGCTTAGTGAAGGTGAGACCGAAGAAACTGCAGCAGCAACAGCAGCAGTAGCCGAAACACTGGCGTCGGCAGCAGAAGCAACAGCAGCAGCAGAAACAGCAGCAGCAACAGCAGAAACAACAGCAGCAGCAGAAACAGCAGCAGCAGAGGCAACAGAAGCAGAGACAGCAGCAGCAGAAACTGCAGCAACAGAGATAGCAGCAGCAGCAACCCGCGGCACTGCAGCAGCAACAGGTGAAACAGCAACAACAGCAGAATGTGTAGAGGCAGCAGCAGCAGAGTCTGCTGCAGCAAATTAGCAGCAGCAACAGCAGCAGCAGCAGTTTGCAGCACCCGTCTACAGGCCCTCATTAAAGAAAGGGTTTAGGGTTTATAGATTCCGATGAACAGCCACCAGGAGATGCAGCAGCAGCAGCAGCAGCAGATGCAGCAGCAGCAGATGCAGCAGCAGCAGCAGATGCAGCAGATACAGCAGCAGATGCAGCAGATACAACAGCAGCAGCAGATGCAGCAGCAGCAATTGCAGCAGCAGCAAGTGCTGCTCTTTCTTCGTCTTTTAGGAATTGTCTGAAGCGTTTATATGAAGTGCGTTGCGGTGTATAGGCATCTCTTATACTTTTATTGAGGTGTACATACACTTCACCTCAGCTTTGATTATATTATTGCGGCTTTATTATTAATATTTATTAATATTAATTAATATATATTAATATAGCCTTCGTTAGTGTTGCTGCGGAGGTGTATATACACCTGAGCATTTTAAACCCTCAGCTTGCTGCAGCGTTTATTAACAGCTGAGGTGTATATACACCTCTTCATATCGAAATGCATATATATATGTATATATATGTATATATATGTATATATATACATATATATGTATATATATGTATATATACATTATATATATATGTATATATATATATATACACACATTATATATATATATATATATCATGCATATCTCTTTATCTGAAGTGTATATATATGTATATATATTATATACTATATATATTATATATTATATAGTATATATATTATATATATTATATATATTATATATATTATATATATTATATCGTAAGTGTACATATACACCTCATCATATCTGCGGTGTATGTGCAGCTAACATTTGAAGTGTATATACACCTCAGTATAGCTGGGGTGTATATACACCTCAGTATATATATATATATATATATATATATATATATATAAGTATATCTGTGTCTGCATATTTATTTGTATATTTGTTTACACCTCAAAGATCAGGTGTATATACACCTCAGCGCTGTTGGTGTTGAAGGAGAGCCAGCGGCGTCATTACAAACAAAAGCAAAAAATAATTGCTAATATATCATGCAGCAGTTCTATACAACCTCCACCTGCTGCTGCTGCTGCTACTTGTGCTGCTGCTGCTGCTACTGCTGCTGCTGCTGCTGCTGCTTGTGCTGGTGGTGGTGCTGCTGTTGCTTGTGCTGCTGCTGCTGCTGCTGCTGCTGCTGCTGCTGCTGTTTCATTGGT